AACGGGCGGACAGGTAGGCACGCACGCACGCACGCACTGGGGCAAGCAGTCGGGCATACAGGCAGGCACTCGTGCACCGGGGCGGGCGGTTGGGTAGGCAGCAAGGCGTTGGGTGGGCGGACGGGCGGTCAGGTTGGCACAGGCAGGCAGACAGGCATGCATGGGGGCGGATGGGCAGGAAGCAAGGAGTTTGGCGGGAGAGGCATGCACGCATGCACGCACCGGGCCAAGCGTTCGGGCTGGCAGGCAGGCACGCGTGCACCGGCGCAGGTGGTCYGGCAGTCAGCAAGGCGTTAGATTGGCGGAGGGGTAGACGGGCGGGCAGGCAGGTAGACAGGCAGGAATGCACGGGGGGCTAGAAACCCAGCTACTGGTGACAGACTTGTAAGATAGATAAACACTTTTTGTGAAAGTTCAGGTAAGTTTATTCATTGTTCCAACAATGAAAATAAAGTAAAAAAAAAAAAACTTTGTGTAGAGCAGTATGTTGGTGAGGGAGTGGTCAGGAGCGTCTAATGGAAAATATCAGAAATGAAATGGCAAGTTTGAACTGCTCTCTCTGCTGACATCAACATGGAGTGACCTGATGAAGCTGATATTTTTACATTTGTAGCAGCGGGGTCTGTTTTCTCACCTTGGCACAGACAGAGAGGGGATATTTTAAACTGTCTGGTTGCAACCTGAACTTTAATGTGTGTTGTTTTTTTCAATACATGCGCCGAAGCTTCAGCTTCAAACTGCCCATCACTATTAAATAAACACATCACAAATTATGTAAAAGTGGGGTAGAATAATAATTTGCCTCTATAAACTTGATCTATAATATTTAAGTGTTTAGACATAACCCAACCTGMGGTCTGAACGTGTCTCTGGGTCTCTCTTTTGGCTCCTATCTGGACTGGAGCTGTGACCAAAGCTAACATGAAAATGAATAAAATGTATATTTGTAATTYCAATAAGTCATTTTGATTAGCCAGAGATTTGAAGTAATGGGTCCTTGATAAAAGCTTGTTATCAGTAAATAATTGGAAATAGCTGAAGGTTTTTGCTTATGAGAAGTGTTTCATGTCACAATTAAGTATCCAACAAACTGACCCAATTATATCCTTTCAAAGTGGGATACTCATTAATTTTCCACAACTATAAAAAGGCACAAAAGTCTGCGTAGATTTTATCAGAGACTCTACAAGGAAAAATGTTTCTTTTTTCATTATTTGATAATTTTATTTGCTCTATTTTGTATAAATTTCAAAAAGTTATAGATCTTTAATTTAATAAGATCACACACTATAGCTTTTTTATAAGGATCAATCAAGCTTCAAGGACATTTTGTGGCTCTGAACAAATTTAGTGAAAAAAGGAGCAAGAATTGTTTTTTTCATTGGAACGATTTTACTAAGTCACTTCTAGGTATGAAAAACGATCAATAAGACATTGTTAAAGTTATTTTGAAAAAACAAAATCACATGTTTATTAAGAAAATTGTTTAATCATCAAAATAAGTGCCATGCAACATAGTAGTTGTTACAAATCTGTTGCAGACAGCAGAAACCTCCGCTAAAATATTTAATGTTTTTAATGAACTGAGCTGCTCATTAACACCAGTTTCTGTCTGGCAGCTTTTCTTGTCTCTAATGAGCATCTTTCTCTTTCAGCCATCTGTGAAAGAATACTTTGTCTTTCAGAACCATCCTGCCAAGTCTCGGTTCCGTCTGCAGCAGAACATCCCATTAGCCCGCAGACCGAGCCGACCGATCGATGCACCACTTAGCGGCTGCGAGGAACACATCGCAGTCATTTGACCTGCAGGAGCTGAGGGAATGGGCGCACAATCCAATAAACATCGAGCCGCTGAAACAACTGCGCCGGACTGACGGCTTAAGAAACTTCCCCGGGTATCTGAGCCATGCAGAAACACCTCGGATCAGGTACGTAACGGCTGTCACATTTTTACCCTGAGATAAAGATGTGGTTTAATGAGGACAAATCAACTCAGAAGGTTAAATACTACTGCAGGAATTTGGGCAAGAATCAAACTYTTCAAATTGTATATTTTGATGTGAAAAATGCTTGTAAAGAAAARGCTTGAGGTATTTGGTTTGTCTTTAATTCCTTCCTCCTTTTTTTTTAACATTCAGATGCTTTAAAGGACTAATTTTCAGTTGCTGATTATTTTCACTTGAAGCTCTGTTTCTTATTCAAAGTTGATGGAAAAAAAAACTCAGATCTGGAAATCTCTGCATTGCAGGTTTGTGTTTCATTCCACCAACAGACAATCTGCAGCATATGAAGCAGATGATAGTTTGCAAACACTCGAGTTAACGCAGCACGACTGCCAACAAAACAGTCTCATCATTTGTGCCAGAAAAGCCCACAAAGGAGGCTGAAGCCACCTGCTCTGCTGTTTTACTGCCGCGAATGAGCAGAGKCCCTCCTCCCCCTTGTGTTTTTTTTCCCCTTGTCTATGTTGAGTCACGCTGAAGGCTGTAATTCACTTTCACCAATGCAGCTCTGCTGCAGCCGCTGAAGTAGAGAAAATGATGAAAGATTTCCCATCATCTGAGTGGGTCCCAGCTGCAGCTCTTCATCTTTCAGTAAAGATCCATTAATCTTTTATTTTTCTTGTTCCGGGTTGTTCTATTGGGTGAAAGTTTTTAAAAAGTCAAACTTGTTTTTTGCCTTTTTTCACACAAACTGTAGCTCATTTTAAAGATTTTGAGTTGGAGAATTTGAAAAGAAGTTTCTCGTTGTGGCTCATTTTGTCAGTACGTATCACAAATATTATCTGATAGTTGTATCAGATTTGTTGTGGTTCTTTATCCTGGAGATCAGTCGGAGGCCTTGGCTGAGTGCCGGCAGATAATGTAGAGGAGACTTCCAGTCTTCCTGATGAGCCCCGAGGCTGAGAGAACGGTGAGAAAGTTGTGGCYCCGGGTGGATATTAGAGGATATTAAGCCTCCTGCTTCCAGACAAATGGCAGCGGTCTGCTGGAGGGGAGAGCAGTAAATATGATCACAGTTATTATCAATAATGTTAAAAAAATTTGGATGCACTTTTTGAGAATAGCAACAAAGAAAACATGTCTTTTTAACAGAAAAGCCTTGGAATTTGTGTTATTTTCTCTGTGAAGTAGCAAAGTTTAAATGGTAAATGGACTGTACTTGTATAGCGCCTTTCTACCCAACCAGGACACTCAAAGTGCTTCACACTACAATCTGTTTCCTCATTTACCCATTCACACAGCACTCTATTAGGTCTCTACAAAGCTAACATGTATAATCAACTATGGAGACTAATCAGTGCCAATCACATTCATACACTGATGGGACACACATCAGAGGCATTAGGGGTTAAGTATGTTGTCCAAGGACACAACAACTGAGACAGCTGAACGGGGGATCGAACCAATGACCTTCTGGTTCCCGGACGACTCCCCTAACCACTAGGACAGGACAGGGCAGGACTTAAAGTGCCTGTGACATTAATTATTTGTAGTAAATATGAATGTATTTTTGGAAAGATAACATATTGAAAAAAATTAATTCACTCCGCTGAGATGAACAGTTGTTGAGATATTTACCTTTAAATTAACAGGAAGTGATGTCAAAGGGGAATGTCTGAATGTGAACAGAGTGCTGCTACAACAACTAACAACAGAATGTAGAGAAGAATCTGATGTTTCTTTAGATTATTTTAATCACTATCATAGAGAGATGAGAGAGTCTTTGTTCAAATATTATTGTTTAAATAAACAAAAAACAGGGATTTTTTTTTCTCGAAGTGTTCCCCTTTGATGTCACTTCCTGTTTCACTTTGGCTGAGCCAAATTCAAAAGAAAATATGCCAATTATGTGACAACGGGTAAAATCACGAGTATTATGCCAAGTTTCTTAAATATAAATGTATTTTCTTTGACTTTTTGTATTTCATGGATATGCATGTCACAGGCACTTTAAGTTTGAACTTTTATTCATTCATTGCACTGTCAGCATTAATTTGTTCTGAGGATTTTAAATATTCTGTTGTAATAAAACTACAAGTCCCATCATGCATCAGTCCTGTCTGAAGGAATTTATTATCACCGAGGAAATGCAGGGGTTAGACAATGAAACACCTGGTTTTAGACCACAACATCCCTTTCAGACAGCTTCCTCTTGCGTCCACAGTTAATCCTGTTGGATGTGGTTGGACCTTCTTGGTGGTCTGCTGATATTACCCTGGATACCGTGGCTCTTGATAAAATCACAAAGACTTGCTGTCTTGGTCACAGATGCACCAGCAAGATGTGCACCAACAATTTGTCCTCTTTTGAACTCTGGTATGTCACCCATAATGTTGTGTGCATTGCAATATTTTGAGCCAAACTGTGCTCTTACCCTGCTAGTTGAACTTCACACTCTGCTCTTACTGGTGCAATGTGCAGTTAATGAAGACTTGGCCACCATGCTGGTCCAATTATCCATGAAACCTCCCACATTAAAATGACAGGTGTTTCACTTTCATTGTCTGACCCCTGTATTTGATCTCCTCCTTCCTCTGGATTGTGATGCATCTGGACTCAGAGTAATCCACGTCTCCCCTCTGGAGAGAACTGAGCCCTGCAGAGACACAGTTCAGGACCCGTTTGTTGGGTCAGCTCGGTCCTCCACCTCGACATCGTTCTCTTGTCTCCTGAGGACGAGCTGAGCAGATTTTACAGAATCAGCTGGGTGAAGATGACCTCCGCTGTAGCTCTCAGGGATGTTTGGACCGAAGGAAATCAATTCCTGCTTGTTTTCGGGATAATTTGTGTTAATCTCTTTGTGCTCTGAGGTTCATGGGGGTGGTAACAGAAACAGGCTGGAGGGATACACACATGATGTAATTACCATGTGAAAGAAGGGGTGTGTGGCGGACAAAAGAAACAGCAGATGCTTCAGTTTTTTAGTTTAGTGGGAGGGTCAAAACCAGACGGTCRGATCTATTAAAATTAATAAAATCAAGAAAACTAAAAGTTCATCTATTTTTAAAAATTGAATTTCATTGCAGTTTGTGTCTAAAACCTGGAGCTGCATGGCACTGGTGTGTAAGTTGTACAATGTGTGTGCTTGATGTGTGCAATTAGAAATGGTTTAAGCTGTATAAATGGCTAAACTATGGAGATTTGATGGGATTATACAACTGTAGGAAATAAAACTAAATCAGCAAAGATGTAGCTACACTTTAGTGTTTTAAATTTAATCAATTAAAAACCTTTTACTGAAGATACAGATGAGGAAATGTTTGTGAAATCTTGCGAGATGTTAAAGCTCGGATAGTTTTAGCTCAGTGWCTGAAATTACCTGAGTTAAAGCCATTTTTGTGTTGGATAAGTTTGATTAGCTGCTGCGGCTCCACGTGATCTACAGCAGGGGTGTCACTCATTTTCACAGAGGCCKACATCAGCATCATGGTGGCCCTCAAAGAGGCTGTTATAATTAACGTCAATATTTCATATTTAACTTTGAAATGTCACAATCTGAGCAGCGCTAACAAACACTGAGCTCTATGTGGTATTTCCTGCACAGAAATGACGTTTTAACATGACCTCTTAAAAAACGTTGAAAAGTGCTATGTACCACTGACTAAATGTGAAATTAATAATACAGAAATACTATAAATACTAATACCATATTACTCATTGATGAGTTGTAATAAGTAGTTTTTGTCTTGAATTCCGAATTCTCCCACTTTCTGATGGGGAATTCCCACTGAAGAGGGCGTTTCAGTTTGAATTATGACTGAATTATGAGTGGGAAGTTCCCACTTCCCAGTTAAACAGCAGCAAAGGCAAGCAGCTACCATATTTATTAATGCATAATACAATCATCATTTTTTTGAGCTTAAGCATAAAAAAAATCGAATCATCGTGTATGAAACCACCACTCATTTCAGATGGACTTCAGGATTTTTCAGCTTGACTCCAGTGAATAAACAGCTACGGGAGGGAGGAGGACTGTTTCAGTTAAATATGAGGAAATATTGAAACTTATTGTGTTTATACATTAAAAAAGAAGTCAGTCAAAACTTACTCCTGTGTATAATCCCCCCCAACACACACACACACACACACATTTTATGGATGATATTTTCTTAGATTATGCACATAAATACGGTAAGTGTAAATTTTACACAATGAATTTCACCTTGAACCTTGCGTAGCTCCACCTAGATGTAAGATGCTGCTTAGCAGCTTTTTAAGACATTAATACATCTTTGAAGCTGTCGTGGGCCATATAAAATGTCATGGTGGACACCATTTGGCCCACGGACCTTGTGTTTGATGCATGATCTACACGTACAGCTCGTGGTTAATTTCCAAGAGATTCACTAACGTCTCTCCACTAGTTTGAGATATTTTGCTAACAGACAGGGCTGACTGTAAGAGCCATTAACTCTCAGCTGCTAAAGCTTTTAATTTTAGCTCAATATAATATATAAAACTGACTGGTTGAAGTCATTTCTGTTTCCTGCTAAAAACGTTCTGACATCAGGAAAATCAAATTCAAGACAGCATGTTTTTATTAGATTACCATTGATGATTAAAATTATGCTTACACCAAGTTTTCTTTTGTTTCTTTAATGTTATCCTTTTTAATATCACATCTATTTTTATTCAAAAATAATTGTTTTTGTGGAACTCAAACTCAGGTTTCAGACGAGGGAAACCTCACAGAAAGAGCATCAGACACAAAGAGGGAGGGGCTGAAAGAGGTAGACGAGGAGAGAAAAAGAGGAAGAGGCAGCCTCTCTGTGGCAGGTTTATTAGAGCAGCAGCCGGAGGAGGAGGAGGATGAAGTGAGGAGGAGGAGAGTAACTGTGGCAGCAGTCAGGAGCGACACAGACTGAAAAGAGGAGATTCTGAGAGGAGAGAAGGTATGGAGGCACATCCTGTTTCTGTTTTCAGCGTCGTCCAGCTGACGGCACGCTGAGCGTGTGGAGGGAGCAGAGAGCTGTAGCACTGCAGAGAGATGGAGGGGAGGGGAGGGCTGCGTTATGCTCCACACCAGAAGAAGATCTTCCTGTTTTTCTGTGCAGAACTGAAGGTGCGGTGTGAGGAGGCGATTTCCTGTCTGTCGGCCGTCCTCAGCTCTGGTTTCCTCCATGTCTGTGATGAGAGAAGTTTGTGGCCACACCCTCTGAGCGATGAGATAACGTGTGTGTGTGTGTGTGTGTGTGTGTGTGTGTGTGTGTGTGTGTGTG